GCTATTATAGTTGGATCCTATGATGTTTTCTCCCCCCTCTACTCTCTTGTAATGGATTGAGTTTCCCCTTTGAAGTTATCTTATCGGATTGAGTCTTTAAAGATTTGAGAACACTTGATGTATGTCTTGCCGTGCGTATCTGTGGTGACAATGGGATACCACGTGATTCACTTGATGTATGTTTTGGTGATCAACTTGCGGGTTCCGCCCATGAACCTATGCATAGGGGTTGGCACATGTTTTCGTCGTGATTCTCCGGTAGAACTTTGGGGCACTTTTTGAGGTCCTTTGTGTTGGTGGAATAGATGAATCTGAGATTGTGTGATGCATATCATATAACCATACCCACGGATACTTGAGGTGACATTGGAGTATCTAGGTGAAATTAGGGTTTTGGTTGATTTGTGTCTTAAGGTGTTATTCTAGTACGAACTCTAGGGCTGTTTGTGACACTTATAGGAATAGCCCAACGGATTGATTGGAAAGAATAACTTTGAGGTGGTTTCATACCCTACCATAATCTCTTCGTTTGTTCTCCGCTATTAGTGACTTCGGAGTGACTCTTTGTTGCATGTTGAGGGATAGTTATGTGATCCAATTATGCTATTATTGTTGAGGGAACTTGCACTAGTAAAAGTATGAACCCTAGGCCTTGTTTCCTAGCATTGCAATACCGTTTACGCTCACTTTTATCATTAGTTACCTTGCTGTTTTATATTTTCAGATTACAAAAACCTTTATCTATTATCCATATACCACTTGTATCACCATCTCTTCGCCGAACTAGTGCACCTATACAATTTATCATTGTATTGGGTGTGTTGGGGACACAAGAGACTATTTGTTATTTGGTTGCAGGGTTGCTTGAGAGAGACCATCTTCATCCTACGCCTCCTATGGATTGATAAACCTTAGGTCATCCATTTGAGGGAAATTTGCTACTGTCCTATAAACCTCTGCACTTGGAGGCCCAACAACGTCTACAAGAAGAAGGTTGTGTAGTAGACATCACTGTCGTGCACTTCTGGATGGAAGTGAATCCAAGGGCGTCGGTGCAATCCATCTTGCACTTGAAGTAGTTTTCGAACTCCCGGATGGAATTCACAATCCTGAGGAAGAGCTTTCGGCTTATCCGATAATGGCGCCGAAATGTTTTCTCGCCGTGAAGTGGAGCATCGGCGAAGTAGTCAGAGTAGAGCATGCAGTAGCCTTCGAGACGATGTCGATTCTTTGCTTTCACCCGCCCCGGCACCGAGCCACCTCGCCGCGACTTTTCATTGCTCGCCAGCAGCTGGGCGAGGGCGGCGAGCACCATGAGATGCTCTTCTTCCTGGACGTCGGCCTCGGCTTCCTCCTCCAGTAGCGTGGCGATCGCTTCCTCGTCATCCGAGTCCATCGCCGAGGCAGGCAAATCGCCGAACACCTTGCGCCTGGTGGGCATGTACCCGCCGCTAAACTGCCCCTCCGTGGCCGGAAACGGCTGTCGGAAACGCCCAACTGCTGTTGGAGGGGCTGCCGCGGCGAAGCTCTGCTATTTTTCTGGCGGGGAATGGCTATCTAGCAGTGAAGGGCGGCGGGAGGCGCCGAGATATAGCTAGTGGCGGCCGAGGGCGCGGGGGGTGGGAGGCGAGTCGGGGAAGAAAACCTTGACTTTTCCCCTGACTGTGTGGGCCAGCCACGCTTTTCCCTTCCACCGGAGCCCCCAATTGCCCCCCAGTGCGCCGGGCTCGGCCTGTGACCGCCGGGCGGAAAAAAGGTCCGAGCCGGCGATTTTCGGCGTCCTGGGGGCGCGACTGGGGTGTTTTTTGGCGCCGGCGCCGAAAAAGTGGCCTGGGGGGCCTGTTGGGGGCGCGGCTGGAGATGCTCGAAGGGGCTGTGCGCCCCCCACACCCTTTCCCATGTTACTTGGGAAGGTGGGGCGCCTCCACCTGGCTTGGGAGGCAAGCCTCCACCTACTTGGCTTGGGGGGCAAGTCTCCCTAGGGTTTCCCTAGGGAGATCCAATCTGCCCTAGCCGCCGCCCCCTAGGGGAAACCCTAGGGCGCCTCCCCCTTCTCCCCTTCCCCCTATATATAGTGAGAGGGTGGGAGGGCAGCCGCACCCTTCCCGTGACGCAACCCTCTCCCCCTCTCCAACTCCTCCTCCTCTTCCATAGTGCTTGGGGAAGCCCTGCCGGAGAACCACGAGCTCCTCCACCCCCATGTCGTCGTGCTGCTGGAGTTGTCCCTCAACTTCTCCTCTCCCCTTGCTGGATCAAGAAGGAGGAGACGTCCCGGGTTGTACATGTGTTGAATGTGGAGGCGCCGTCCATTCGGCGCTTGATTGGATATTCCGCGATTTGAATCGCCGCGAGTACGACTCCATCAACCGCGTTCTTGTAACGCTTTTGCTTAGCGATCTTCAATGGTATGAAGATGCACTCCCTCTCTCTCTCTCGTTGCTAGCATCTCCTAGATTGATCTTGGTGACACGTTGGAAAATTTTGAATTTTTACTACGTTCCCCAACACCTTGTCCTCTAACTTTGTTGTAACTCAAATTATACTTGTCGTATTAAAGCGAGCTCCCATAATCATCAAACCATTCAAGATTGAACCTTCTCCTCTTAACCCTAAAGCTTGAACATGAAAGATTGATATCTCTTGGCTAACAAGGTCCATTAACCAGGTACTCTCTTCTTACCAGATATTTCAAATTTGTATGATAATGTTTACAATTTCCTCTTTTTTGGATCATATTGAATCTCCTCCTCCCAATTCATGCCTTATGGAGCATTGTGATGATACCTTTCTTTTCAGAAGAAACTTGTCCATATTATCTGCATTTAACAAAAAATTTACAAATGAGAACTCATAACTGAGTTCAAGAAAGTTTTGAGGGATTTGAAAAAAAAATATGGTTTTGAAAAAAGTTCAAGAATTTGAAAAAAGTCACGCACTCAAAAAAGTATTTGTGGATTTTTTTTATTTTGTATTTGAAAAAGTTCACGGATTTTCAAAAATTTACAAATTAAAGAAAGTTCACACATTTAAAAAAATAGTTTGCTAAAAGGGCAAAAGAACCTAAATACAAAACCCAAAAAACGGTCAAAAGCTTCTAGAAGCTTCCTAAAACTGGCTGGAATCTACTAGAAGCTTCACAAAATTGGTTGGGAACGATTCAGAAAAAACACGGAACGACCGCTTTATGTGGGTTGGCCCATTCACGAGCGGCCGTGCATTGCGGGAATGAAACAAAATTGTTGTCACGAAAGAGAGGAATTAAATAAATGGGTCGAGCGCAAGCTGGAGAGGGGTTGTACGCTGGTTTGTCAAATGCATTGTAACAATCAGAGAAGGTGCTAAATAGGGTTTGGGACAATGTTGCACGAATGAACAACTTGAAACCCACTACTGAACCGACTCAATTCTAGGGAGCAACTAACTAAGGGTTACCCCCTGTGGGGTTTCCGCAAGGGTCACTTTTTTGGCACGAGAGCGTACCAAGTGGTGCGCCCAGCCGTCGCCACATGACGCGTGCTGGGCACTTCATATGGATTTATGTTTTTTATTTTTCTGTACGCATTTTCGGGTTTTAGATTTTTTTGACCTTCCCTTATTCAGGAAGCACGATTGTGCTTCTTATGGAGGCACAAATTTACCTCCGCGAGCTCGTGGAAGCATATATTTGCTTCCGTCGAAAGCATAACATTTCGCTTTTATGATAAGCATAATTGTGCTTCTCGAAAAGGGAAAAGCACAACCGTGCTTCCCATGAATAAAAAGGAAAATCACACCAAAAGAACAATTGAAAACCCTACAGTGCTTCTAGGCTTTGTTGTTTTTTTCCTTTTTCCTTTTTCAGTTTCTGTTTTTTTTCTTCTTTTTTCATTTCTTTTTGGGGTTTCTGATTTTTTTTCTCTCTCTCATTTTGTGATATAACTATTAACATGGGATCTACTCCATCCGTCCATTAATATAAGACGTTTTTTGTACTAGTATAGTGTCAAAAACATTTTACATTATGATACGGAGGGAGTAGTTTTGAAGATCTCGACATGAGAAATCCAATAGTGAAAACAGTTTAGAAGATAATTTTTTTAAAATGAACAAATCTAAAAAAGGAAAAACTTCCAAGTTATAACAAGCGACACAGCAAGAACCTACTCCCTCCGTTCGGAATTACTTGTCTCGGATATGAATGTATCTAGAACTAAAATACATCTAGATACATCCATTTCTGCGACAAGTAATTTCGAACGGAGGGAGTAAGAAGGTAGGGAGTGACCTTTGCTAGGGTTAACTCTTAACTAGTGATTTTTCTCTATTTAACACAGAGAGTGTCGAATAGGAAAGACCACTTTTTTTTTTGAGCAACCATAGGAAAGACCACATATGCATGCTGCTGGGTCGATAAGGATTTGGTCAAAAACATGGGTGCCCATTGAGCCCATCCAGGTCGCTAAACCCACCCGGAGCTTACAGAAAAAATCATTGGAAGTTAAATGGAAGCCCATCTCCTGACCGCTTCTTTGGATCACAGGATTAGAAAACAAAGGAATTCAAAAAACACATGAATTTGACGGGATTGTAGGTGCAAAACAGAGGATTACAAAATAGAGAAAAACTACAAGAATGGTCATTTGGATGGAATACAGGAAAAACACAGGAAAAGTGCCTCGATCCTACGCGAATCAGTGTAAAAAAGTGGTTATAGTGGATGTTGAAATTCCTATAGGATTGAGGTGTAGGAATGCATCTATAGGAATTTTGGAGGTGTGGTTCCTTTAATCCAAAGGACTTCATTAGAAAAAAATCCAATGGATTGGAATCCTCCAATATTCCTATGCCTTCAATCCAAAGAGGCCTTAAGGTACCCCAAGCGCGGGAAACCCAAATCCTCTCACAGCCTCCTTCCCCCAAAAAAATCTCCTATTCCTCCACGGCTCCGCCTTCCCCTCCCCTCCCCAAACCCAAAACCCTAGAACCTTCTCCATTCCGCTCCCTCGCGGAGCCTGGCCACCATGAGCGCTCCCATGGAGATCTCCTTCGACCCCCACCCTTCTCATCCCGCCCCGCCCGCCTTCCCCTCCAGCCCACCCCTGGAGCCCGCAGCCGCCGCCACCCCTCCCGCGGTCTCGTCCTCGCCGCAGCCGACGGCGGAGGCCGTAGTCGCGCCCACCCCGCCAGACGACAAGGTCCTCGTCTCAGGTAGGCGCCGCGACGCCCGCGCATTTCTGGCCTCGCCCTGGCGGCGCATGACTAAACCGTGCTCTGCGAATGCCCGATTTGGTTTCCCCGGCGTTGATTGTTTTTTTCCTTTTGCGCTTGCAGTTGAGGTGTTGCTGCACGCCACGAGTACGGCTCGCGCCGAGGACGTCCGAACGGCGGTCGAGAGGTCGGTGCTGTTCGGGTTACACTTTGTTTCGAGCATATTTTACTGTTATTTGGATGCTTGATGACACGTGGATGAATGAGTTGCTAAATGCGGGTTGGATTAGATGTAGTTTGGCACTGGAAAAGTGAAAATGTGCCATGATTCTAGGGAACGTGGTCAACAATCATCCTGTGATTTAGCAGTGGAGTTTGCTGAGTATGTTGCAGTAGGAAATAACAGACATGTTTGGTAAAGATAATCGCTGATGATGCAGCATATCGGATATTGACGTGGCAACTAGCAAAGTTAGGAATACTAAATTGTTTGTAATAGGCAATTAGGGTTTGCAGGGTGATTAATATTTTAGAGCAAAATACCAGATAACTTTTAAGTTTTACAACAGATTAGCAATTAGGTGGGGATTTCTGCTGTGTAACATGGATATAAGCTGATCATTTAAAAAATGACTGTTCACCATTTGCTTGCACAAATGATGGAGAAAGCTGTAAATGAAGTTAAAAAATCATATCATCTGTAGTGTTCTGTTCAGAAAAGATCACTGGAAACAGACATAAGCCAATCTTCATCATTGCTTATTGAGAGGCCGGATAACTCACCAAATCAATTCCAGAAATCTTATCATTGTTTCTTTCATATTAAAGTGCTAATCAGATCTGAGGCCATGGAATTGACAGAGTTTCTTGTAGACAGCTTCTTGGTTTAAGCTCATAGCATATATATTGAACTTGCACAGTTATCTTCTCTTGCAGGACATTACTGCTTGTTATTGCTCATACTTAACATTTACAAGTTGTTCTCTTATCAGGATGTTAGAATCTCGAAGTTTAAGCTATGTCGATGGTCCTGTTCAGATACCTCCAGACAATTCTTTTCTTCTTGAACATGTCAAAAGGATCCAAATATGTGACACTGGTATGATGTTTCACTTAGGCTGGAAAGTGTGCTTTCTTGATCTCAGTTATCTATGTACCTCTTCCTGAATGCCCGCTTTTCATGTAGATGAGTTGATTGAGAACCACAAAATCCTGTTGTTTTGGCAAGTCAAACCTGTCGTTCATGTATTCCAGGTATGCATCTAAATGTTTTCTGCCTAAATCACTTAAATCTTTGTTGCTAAATCTCTTCTAGTTCCTTTTAAAACACGGATGGTCTTTGGGTATGTTTACATGCTATTGCCGGCTATCTTTCTTCTTTGACAATTGACTGTTGGAATTGTTTCATCTTCACATCATAAGATATCTTTGTAATGCTGCTGAGGTACTGGTGTTTTGTTCTTTTCACTTAAAATTTCACATTTGTTTTCTCTTGAAACAACCGGAGTGATTTTCTAAATTAGACTACTGACCTCTTTCCAAGAGATATATTACTTCATGTCATGTTCTAAGTGAACATTTGGTTCAAATTCATCATCGCCTCAAGGCTCAAGCTGATCTAGTTATCTTGCAGTTGAGTGAGGATGGTCCAGGTGAAGAACCAAGTGAAGACGACACACTCTCTAGCTTCAATGAGTGGGCTCTACCTGCCAAAGAATTTGATGGATTGTGGGAAAGGTTTGGTTTGATCTCATTATCCTTTACCAGTTACAATTTCTGTGTTTTTTATTCTGTTGATGATGTCGTATGTGCTTGCAGCTTACTATATGAAGTGGGTCTCAAGCAGAGGTTGCTGAGATATGCTGCTAGTGCTTTGCTATTTACTGAAAGAGGTGTAGACCCATGCCTTGTTTCATGGAACAGGTAAGCATCTTTCACATCGTTAAGCACTTGGAGGCTTCACATGTCATCAGAAGTGGCATATTTTGGTTTTACTTTCCACAATAAAGCTGGTCATTACTGCCATGGAACTTTAGGGCACCTTTTTGTGTAGTTGGGTTTGCAGTTAGCTTCTGAAACCTTTAAATGACGTTCATGAGTACTTCCTGAAATTGTATCTGGACAGTGGACCACTGTCTCCTTCCTCTTCTTCAGTTCTTCACTTCTTCCTTGAGTCTATTGGTGGATATTGTTTGTTGGGATAGTTAATCAAGATGAATGTGCAAAATACTGCAAAAAAGAATTGCAGCTTAATTGTCAAGGGATACTCATTGGATGCAAAAGCCTGAACTTCGTGAAACTGAACTACTTACCTTTTAATACCCATGCAAATGCGTAACTACAACAACAACAACAAAGCCTTTAGTCCCAAACAAGTTGGTAGGCTAGAGCTGAAACCCATGCAAATGTGCACTTTCAGTTATATAAATTATTCTCTAGGAATATATAATTTATTTTGTTTTGTATTGTTCATGTGCTTTTTTACATACAATTGCAGGATTGTACTTTTACATGGTCCACCTGGAACAGGAAAGACTTCATTATGTAAAGCACTAGCTCAGAAGCTTTCTATTCGCTTCAATTCAAGGTTCTTGCTTAATGATATTCATGACTAGTGTTTTAATAAATAATGTGTTATTAATTACGGTCTCTTTTTCACCAGGTATTCTATGTGCCAACTAATTGAAGTCAATGCCCATTCATTGTTCAGCAAGTGGTTTTCTGAAAGTGGGAAACTGGTATGGCTTTTTGTGTTTATATCAATAATATTATCATGTATACGTTCATGCTGAAATCACATCATTAGCTCGTGGTAATTGAGTTTTGCTATGTTTTTGCACCATTTTGCATGATGTGGAAAATTCACCATCATATGATACATTTTGTAGTATGTAGTTAGTTTAGCCCACTAAAATTGTCCATTGGATATATCTTCATTTCTGCCTTACAATGTACATGCTATAATTTGTCCTTTTTAGGTAGCTAAACTTTTCCAGAAGATTCAGGAGATGGTGGAGGAAGAAAGCAACCTGGTATTTGTATTGATCGGTATGTTCATGACAAAACTGGTGAAATGACTAGATGGTCAATCTCCGTATGATCTGACTAGCTCAATCCATGCCTTGTTCATCTTATCTATGTGTTGTTAAACGGACTCCTCATTCCATTGCGTTTTTTACTTAAAGAAATGCCTCAATACTAATGAATAATGAACCCCATTGAGCTACATGACATGTGGGTGGATAAGTAAGATAGCAAATGATTTTGTCCTTTATGTGAATAGAGATAACATAGATCGTAAATGTTTTTAAAATCGAAATCAACACAATTTAATTCCCTAGGCATTATCTCCTAGTTGCAGACTAGCAAAATGCATTGTGGCACTCCTATAGAATTTTAACTAAACCTCATTTTAGATAAATTTGATTTGCAGCATGCTGTATTTGAACCCTTAATGTTATCTATGGCGTTTATGCATTTTAACACGTGATATTGCAGATGAAGTTGAAAGCCTTGCTGCTGCCAGACAGGCTGCCATATCTGGTTCTGAGCCTTCAGACTCCATTAGGGTAAAGTTTTCAGCAGTTTTCCTTTGCCATACACCTTTTATCAGGTAATGTTTACACTGTCTTCTTTCACTCTAATGTTCAGGTGGTAAATGCCTTGCTAACACAAATGGACAAACTGAAGGCTTGGCCAAATGTTATCATTTTGACGACATCAAATATCACCACAGCTATCGGTATTGATTTTTCGCCTTTTGAGTTTTTTCCTTTTATGACCTGAATGGCCCATCATGCCATTTTGTGTGCATAGTTGCCACATTTTTTGCATGATTATCTGCGCGTTTGGAACAACGGTGCTGTATATGATCAACATCTGGACAAATTTGGACATTTAGTATGTGTTTTAGTTGGTCAAGTGAATCACTGCAGTGAGGGAAAGATCAATTGCATAATAAGCATGTTTATGTCCGTGGAGCTGTCTATGTTTATAACATCACTTTTCCTACTTTTCTGAAGTAACTAATGCTACATTATTGATACATTTAAATTTAGATAATCTTGTTGCCATCGACAATGAGATATCAACTGTGCTCAGTACTGATGTCTCTTGGGCTAATAAAATTGCGTAATTGCAGACATTCATTCTATTTTCGATGGCTGTTAAGGAGAACAGCCTGTAGCCTTCTTAAACATCGTGTAGACATGCATTGAGTCCTAAAATCAATAAATTCTAACTCGTATGTGGTTTGCAGATATTGCATTTGTTGACAGGGCAGACATCAAGGCATACGTCGGACCCCCTACTCTTCAAGCACGCTATGAGATTTTGAGATCATGCATAGATGAACTCTTCCGAGTAGGAATTCTTACATATCCTCAGGTATTTGTTCCTTTTTGCCAACTTGGTTGCTGTAATACCACCGCTGTATCACTGTGAAGGTTGCTTGGAACTGCTTTGCACATGGGGCACTTTTTCTGAGCAAACCTGTATTTGGGACCTCAAAGAATTTATTTGTTTGAACTGCTGTATAGAATTTCCAGCTTTCTTGCAATCTTTAAAGGATTATTCCTCTCCAAATACAGGGTGGTGATTTGCCTTGCATTCTGAGCTATTCAACCCTGAAAGAGAAGTTGCACTGTCCTGAGGCTGCAGAACCCCATACACTTCATCTCTCCAAATTACTGCATGAAGGCGCAGAACTGTGCGACGTAAGTGATGAAGTTTACAGTTGCCTTACCTTTTTATTGCTGTAGATTAAGTGATCTGCTGTAATCAACACCAACAGGCTGATAATGGTGGTGATCTTTTTTCCATTCTCCCACAGGGATTGAGCGGAAGATCATTGAGAAAACTTCCTTTCCTGGCACACGCTTCTGTTCCCAACCCTTCGTGCTGTGACGCTGCTTCTTTCATGCACACGCTGATACAGACCGCGCGAAGAGAGCTCTTGGAATCACGCGGATGATTCCTCGCGTATTGCTTGGAGGAGCAAATGGTTAACGGTTGGATACGAGTACCTTGCCACTGATATGATGCATAGTTTGAGCTAATTCGAAGTCTGTTGTTCTGAGATACAAGCAAATCCATTCCATTTCTAGGTCTAGAGAAGTAGGAAGTCCAGGATATAGGTGCCGTTGCTGTTGCATTACTTTTGGTTCTCCTGTAAATTGTTACGGTGGGATGCACTACACCTCGAGGGACGCCGCATTACTACCTACATACATGAAGTTTCTCTTTTGCGGGGATTTACCTACATGAGTGCCATACATACTTCGGTGACTTGATCAGATCTGTTTCTGGTCATTGGAACTTGAAAAGGATAGCGTTTGTGTACCTTATTAGCTTTGTTTCTGTTGTTCTGGTTTTGCATGTTATGTGCAGGATGTAAATCAAAGTTGGCTGGACTGTTTGGCTTGGCCTCAGCCCTTCAGGCTTACTCTCTTCAGTCGCGCGCAGAAAGCTGAAACGAGTGCCAAGGTACATGACCGCGCATTCCTGTGATGGGAATATCCAAGAGAGTTTATTCTTCTCTACTGGTGCCAAGGGAGGTTAGTGCAGACTGCAGAAGCTAGGGTAAAGTCTCAACACCGCAGCTAAGCTTCAGTGATTCCAAAACAGCAAGAGTCATTATAACATCCCTGATTGAACCGTCAAGTCATTAACCAACAGTTGCTCCTATCAATTCGAGCATCCAGCCAAAGAAAATAAGGAGAGATACAAATCAAAAGACTCAGACCATAAACTGCGACTCTTGGCAACTTGATGGCGTGCGTAAAGCTACAGGGAGTGAATGTACATGAAGGAAATAAGAGTCATGACAATGTTTATATAAAATTTGCAGGCGCACAGGCCATCTTCAGGTTAGAACCCCGGATTTCACCTGTGCTGGTCTGGTTGGGTCATACAGCTCATACTACGTTACAGGATAAAGAGCTGGGGATGCTTGCCCCTGAACACTGAACGATAACGGTGTCGAGTAGTAGATCAAACTTCTAGTGACAAAATTGAATAGTGTGACACAACTAAAGGGCATGGAACGGCTGGTGTGTTTCGATTTAGTTATTCCCGAGTTATACATGTGAAAAGACCGCTCAAATAACTACATCATATAATTATTTTTTAAAATTTATATAATGATTTTATTAAAAAATAATTAAGTGTTGAATCATGATTCTAGCTCCGTTCCTGCCAAGCGTGCAACTTAGATAATGATCTAGCAGAGCATATATGCAACCACCATGTCACAATGTAGTTTTCTTTGAAATATCTTCAAACAGCTGAACTATTTCACATGTATTTTGTTTGATGACTACCATGCTTTTGATTTTGAATTATGACTGATGAATATTACCAAATTATGTTCAAACTATTGCTGTAGAATTTATATAGTTCGTGTATAATATAGAGGAGAAAGAGGCAAAAGTGAAGTAACAGGGGGACAGGATTTGGGAGCTATAGCTCGAGTACCATACAAAATCTGACAGTGACATGCATAGCAATTCAGAAGACCAGATTCCCTTTCCAAAGAAAAGAGGACCGGATTCCGGTTACATGGGAGTGATAACCACGAATAAGAACTGAGAATAAACTTTCAATGCATGCCGTTTAAATTGAAGGTAGCCAGCTACCCCCTCTGCAACACAAGGTGTTTTGCCTTGCTACAAAGTATCATGGGAAGAATAATCCTCGTGGGTTTCTCAATTATTTCTGAAATATATAATTGCCGATCTAACGCTGTACGGAAAAAATAGCACTCAAAAGTTGGGACCTGTAAACCAGTCCTCCAAAAGAATCGATTCTTCAGGCGTGCATCAGGTATCTAATCCAGATTAGCGATCACTGCATCAGTAACTTCCTGGGTGGTGCTGGTGCCGCCCAGATCCTTTGTCCTGTACTTGCCCTCTGCAATGACCCGCTTCACCGCAGTTTCCAGACGGTCAGCGAACGACGGGAACTGCAAATGCCTCAACATCATAGCGGACGACAGGAGCAGGGCGACAGGGTTTGCTTTCTGCTGCTCTACAAGATTGTCATTTCCCACATTTCCTGCAGAAGCACCTTGCTCGAAGATGGCATGATCCTGACCCACATTACCTGCAACACAAATGCAGCATCCATGGATCAATATGAACCTCAAACTTATGTTGGCTTACAAGAATAAACCTATATGTAGTTCATATAGACAAAAAAAGGCGGTGTCAAAATCATGTGCGACTACAAGTCTACAACACACTAGGCATGTCACACTAGTCGGCCCCCAGAAAAGTATTCAATAATACCAGGAAGGAAGTGTTGACCAGCATTTCTTGCAATTGACCAAGTTAATCCAATTAACCATTCGTAGTATGAAGTGACCGCAGAAACAAAGTATGCTGAAATCTTACCTCCTGGCATGACACCTGTTCCTCCAACAAGACCTGCAGCTGTGTTGGCAACCAAATTGCCGTAAAGGTTAGGCGTAACCTATCAAAAGAATGGAAAGATAGAAGTTAGAAAATCTGCAGTAACCCCAAGGAACGGTTTACTTAATAGGAGCATCTGAGAATACCAGGATAATTAGATACATACCATAACATCAAATTGCTCAGGCCTTGAAACAAGTTGCATGCAGCAGTTGTCAACAATAATTTCGTTATACTCAATACTTGGATATTTAGCGGCAATCTCACGGCAAGACTCCAAGAACAAACCATCAGCAAGTTTCATGATGTTTGCTTTATGCACTGCCGTGACTTTCTTCCGGTAGTTAAGGTAAGCATACTCGAAGGCATATTTGGCAATCCTCTCAGAGCAAAACTTCGTGATGACCTAAACCCAATCAGTAAGAGTAACAAAAAGGCAACAAAACAGACTTAAAAGGAAAGCATAAGTCGAGCAATTGCTTTCATCGATAATGTTTTGAGCAAGCAAACTCACGTCATTTAAGATAGAACTGATAATAGGCTTGCAAGGAAACATAAATGCAAGAAAATAAACACATATATGATGAATATTGTGAACATATACAGGGCAAATTTTCGGTGTATCTTGGTCTATTTGAAAATAATGGAAACGAAGCTAACGTCATGATATTCATGTTCTGTTGATATAGACGTCAAGTTCACCCATCTGTTTATTTGGGACGGCAGTAACTATTGGCTACTATTTCCTGGGATAAATACATCCAGAATCCATGATACCAACCTCACAGCATGTCACGTCATGGTTTGATCAAAATAATGACAGTGTATTATTCTACATAAGGCTACAGAGTTTTTTACTGATTACACTATTTGTAAATTCAGCAATGAGTTTTGCCGCCAAGTCAAGCGCAAATGCATAATGTTAAATGAATATCGCAATTTCTCAATAAACGAGGAAAATAAGGAAATTACTCAAATACAGTCAACACCGCCAAATCATTTACCTGGTAAACACCGACCCAATAATTCAATTAAATTGGTTTCTATAAACGTGCTAAGCTACACCACAAGTTTGGACAAGCAGAGCACATGCCAATCACTGGAGCACAATTCTTGCCAGAATCAGACTGAGGATTTGACTCCACATTTGGCAATTTTACACGGATCTACCCGCAATTTCAACATTATGAGGCATGAATGACTGCAATGATCATATAAACTATCAAGTAAACAGTACATTTATAAAAGCATCCTAGCAATCTACATCATCCTGGTCACAAATTCAGATAACTCAATTTTACACGTATTGTGATTGATAACTAACCGACAGCATCAGTTCATCACAGACAAATCATATATCTACTCTGACAGTTGCAGCTTTGCAATGGAAAACTTTCCTCTTAACCATGTACTAACTAGCTACGATATGCAAATCTAACAGTTATATGCTACCTCACAAGGCACATCATTCGCCAACCAATGAACATGTGAAGGAATCAAGATGAATCCTCTAAACAAACAACAGGGAGCGAACGATCAGGCATACCTTGAGGCTCTCGACGACCCCCGGGACGACCTCGTGCTCGAGGCCCGAGTACTCGCCCTCGGTGTTCTCCCTGATGACGACGATGTCGACGTTCTGGTGCCTGGTGGGCAGGCCGGGGACGTTGGCGCAGTTGACGAGGGAGGCGAAGAGGTCGAGCTCCTTGCGGAGCTGCATGTTGAGGGAGGAGACGCCCCCGCCGACGGGGGTGGCGAGGCCGCCCTTGAGGCAGACCTTGTTGCGGCGGATGGACTCGATGACGGCGGGGGGCACGGCGGGCATGTCGCCGTGGACGTCGTAGGACTCGAAGTAGACGGGCGCGTGCATCGCCTCCATGACCTGCTCGACGGCGCCGGTGACGAGGGGCCCGATGCCGTCGCCCGGGATGAGCGTGACGGGACGCGGGGTGCCGTCGCCCGGGCGGGGCATGTAGGTCACCGTGCGGCGCGCGCCGCCGCCGTGGCCCGGGAGGGGCGGCGCGGAGGAGACCAGGCGGCGGAGGAGCGGGGCGGATCGCCGCGCCATCGGGGGCTGGCTGGGGCTGCGGCTGCGGCGGGGCGATGCGGAATTGCGATCCGGTAGGCGGAGCGCGGGCGACCCGGAAAGGAGGGAGGAGACCGGGGCAGAGGGAGGAGAAAGGGACGGTGGAGATGGGTGCTACTTGAGCCGTTTTGCGGTTCGGACCTTGGAATTGTTGGGTATTTGCGAACCTTTAAAGCCTCGTCCGCAAGAATGAGAGACACGTCTCTGGCATGCGGGCCCATCACCATCAAGGAGACACGGATATTGTTTTCGGTTGAGAAAATGGTCGACAATGTCGGTGCACAGAAATACGTGCAATCGTATCGTGCTGATAGAGAAACGTTTTTTTTTTTAGAATTGCTGATAGTGAAACGTTCAGACGAATGGAACTTGGAACCCAGCGACCTCATGCAAGCGAGCGATCAAACAAACGTACATCAGGTTTCTCAAAAGAAAAACTATCACATCAGCCAAGTTTTTTCTTTCTTTCTTACTTTGGCACATGTATATTGTTAATTCAAGCAGAGCATTTCGCATACGATATTATATTAAAGAGGGCCATCATGCTACTTTAAGCATGGCTCGACGAACGCTGACCCGGTAACCAGGCACCAAGTACAGCTCCATTTTGCATATAAAAGCATACTAGAATGGCAAATCCAGACTGGACTTGAATCTGCTTAACCGCATAACATGGAACACTAACGCATTCAGCTATCCAGGGGCGGTGGCGAAATGATGCCACGTCTCACATTCGCATGCATGAAAAAAAGAACTGGTTTCACAGTTACTATCCTAGTCTCCGCATCCTTTGAACCCCTGAATCTTCTGTTCAAAAGAACAAACATGCGATACTGGTTTGGAAGTCCAGAAAGCATCCAGCCAAAAAGAGGAGGAAATAGGCAGGCACTTCAACTCAAGATACAGTTCAAGGATCCCGGCTTCAAATCTTGCGACCTCTCTTACAGAACCTCTACACGCTGCAAAACAAGACGAAAAGAACGTCATAACAAGCTTCAAGTAATGGAAACGTGCCATCACAACACATCACGATCCTGGCTAATCACAAACACGGGTCACCACTAATATTCAAATCAAGCCTTACAATCTGCTATGTGTTGGAGAGTGAATGTGAAGACTAAAATTCAGGTTCAGGGCATTCTCATTGAGGATCACAGATAACATGCATTATATGGTTATTATACCACCACACAGCGAAAAATAAGTGGACACTTAAGATGCAACCTTATATAATCAAATACTGCTCCCTAAGAACAATAATAATTATTCACTAGCGGTTGAGAGTACATGGAAAGCAAGATCCTTACTCCAGTGTGTTAGCCCAACACACACGTGAAAGCAAATAAATAACATACATATAGAAGATAAGAATTTATCAGGTGATGCCGTAGAACCATTCAGGTTCAACCAACCAAAGTGAAGGAATAGGGAGATGTCAAGTAAGGATGCAAAACAAATGAGTAGCCAAATACCAGAATGATCCAGGATAGAAGGAAGTTACACGTATAAAACAAAGTGCTAATAGGTAAGTCAGGTTTACCTTGCCGAGAACAAGATCTCTGCCCTTACTCCAACCCAGCAATTTTTCTCCTTTCCAATATGTTCTTCCTTTCCTACAAAAAAAAAAACATCAGCACAGACATGGTGAACAAAATAGTTGGCTAATGTCAGTAACGTATCTAAAGATAAACCTTGCAAAACTGATGATGAAGGAATGAACTGGTAGAAACAGGAGCAGCAAATAATAACAATAGCATGCATCCGGTTAAATCTGAAGACATGTTAAAACCTGAATCTGTAAACGATATTGAAGACTCAACATAAATGTCTAATTCTAGTTCATGTCTGGATGCTCCCTTTCAGCAAAGCTACATGGATAAAGATTTTCGATATCACATTCAAACAAACTGAACTTCAGCAACATGTGAACACATGTGAACCAATAAACCTATACACTAGCAAAGATCAACAGCATCAATGGTCCAACCTCACATAGCTTATCCAGCAACATGCACACAACATAAACTACTAGAATATTAACTACTAATCTCTAATCAACCCTCACATGACATACATGACGGATATAACCATTTCAGTCAGCAATAAAAATGGCAATTAGTACAAGTACTCCCTCCGCCCGGGTTTAGTGGCCCTCGTAATTTGGGTCAATTGACTAACAAATATGATGTATACCATACAAAAAGTATACTGTTGGATTTGTATTCGAAAGAGATTTCCCACGGTATAACTTTTTATGAAATATAGTGTACATTTTATCAGTTAAACCTATGGTCAAACTTTGATTGAAAATAAGAGGGGGCCTAATAAACCCGGACAGATGAAGTACAAGATTAATGCACACTTCAGTAGTGTAGTTGCAACTGTACATTGCACGATACTTTCCTATAGCTATAGGTCAACACTTAAACTCACACAATAGCACAGCTTGTACATGTAACTGCTCAAAGTGTTACCAACTAATCATCCAGAAAAAGCAAACTACCACTTTGTTTTGACATTTGATAGCTCGAATTGTCACATTTATAACACAAGACATCGAAATGCTCTTGAAATGAGCTCTCCAAAAGGACGTACGTAGAATGACGTATTAGCTACTTCTCCAACTCGCTTATGAGGTCCCACTCTACCATTTTCACATTTTGCAGCTCAGCCCTCACGAGATTCTGACAGATGCTAGCAAGAATGCAAATTTTGTAGAAGAAAGAGATGACATGTGCAGATTAAAGAAAACGTAGTAAAATCTATAAATGCTGCAATAAGATGAACTGACACTCTATGTCCTGTACATGCACAATTGCACACACGGGCATGGATATGCAATGCAAGCATATTACATACCCATGCAGCGTTTTTTGAACAAACAAATGCTACATTGTTCACACAATTTATAAGCACTTAACTTAATAAGAAGCAAGGGTTTTCTCTAATGAATAAGATCTGATTTAAACATGGAAAAATAAATCACGCGAAAAGAAGTTGGTATTAGTAGTTGGCCCTGCTGTTCGAATCAGCATGCACTACAGAGAACGGTTTAACCTTTTTATCTGGTAAGTATTTCGTATGAAACTCTACCTTATTAGCATTTAAAGGGGAGTCAAGTCTTCAGGATCAAACCTAAGTTATATCCAGTGTGTCAACTAAAATGCCAAAATTCCTTGGATTCTGACTCAAATATGTGCACAGTATTGGTTCCCTTGCAAAATGTCGTTTCATGTCAGTCCAATAACCGACGCACAACCAAAGCAATGCATTTTTCCACGCACGCAAACAAATCAATTTTACAGAAACATATGAAGCAAAGCATTCAACAAATTAGCACCTGACGGCGCACCAGCTTCTTGCCCCCCTCCGCCTCCCGAGCAAGCCTCTCCAGCCTCCTTAGCATCCCAGAATACATCTCCTCCACCTCGGTTGCTTGCCCCGTGGCCGAGGCCACCAAGGCCTCCACCCTTCCCAGCCCGAACGCATCCATCATCCCCTCCATCGCCTTCTGGTCTCCGATGCTGAAGCCCTTTGCCGGCGGACGCGGCAGCCACGGCATTGGCGACTCCGCCGCGAAGGTGTGGTATTGGCCCCGGAAACCAGGGCCCACGTTGACCACCTGGAGGGAGGTGGGGAAGAGGCGGGAATCCACGAGGAGGAAGGCGCGGTAGTCGAACGAGTGGATGGAGAGGTTGGAGGAGGCGGAGGGGGCTACGAGCAGAAACACGAGGGGGTGGGTGAGGGCCAATGATTTAGACAGGGAGCGGGCGACGGCGACCTCGCGCATGGAGGGGCGGCGCGCCGCGCTGCGGCGGGAGGAGAAGAAGCCCACGGTGGCTGGGCGGGCGGGGGAGTAGGGCTGGAAGCGGCCGAGGGCGTCGGAGAGGGAGGAGGGTCGGGCGAGCGAGGCGTGGCCGGTGATACAGATGGATAGGGTTGGGGCGGAGGAGGTGGCGCCGGAGTCGTCGTCGTCGGAGAAGGAAGGGGGAGCCGTGGGGCGGGCGGCACGGCCAAAGAGTAGCCCGTCGCAGTCCCCGGCGGCGGTCCCGCAGCAGTCGAGGAGCGCCGCGAAGGCCTGGCTGGAGACGGAGAGCTTCGCGGCGGCGGCCATTTCTGGACTGCGACCAGGGGTTTGGCCGTTCGGGGGCTGCTTCGGCCTTAGACTAGTTACAATGGGGAGTAACTTAAAGCCATGTACAATGGTTCATAAGATAATTTTATCTTAAGTTTTACATTTAATTTAGAGATGACAAAAAAAACTATCTACAATGGGTCATTTCTTAGCCTTATCTTCAATAACTATCAGTTCCTAAAAATATGGTGAGACATATTGTGCTAAGAGATCATCTCTTGTCTTATCTTAAATAAGAGAAGACAAGCAAGCCTTCTCTTATGAGTTATCTCTCCTCCACCTCATTATTTATCCTAGATGGCACTCCTAAGATAGCACCATTGTACATGCCCTTACAGGCTATGTTACTATCTCCACAGTAAGTAGTAACATATGTGTGTTGTCATGTTATGGTTCATTTATTAGCCTATAGACTCATATTGTCTTGATATATGTGATGTTACAGTAACTAGTTAAGTTACCACCATCATCTCTCTCATCATTAAATATGTGCCACATAAACAAAATTATCTTAAAAAGTGTGATGTTACTAGTGATGTTAGTCCCACTATGGCCAGTCTTAGGAGCGTGTATTTGCAGTGTGTTTGATTGGGGTAATTAGAATTACGACCGATAATTAAAGGGTACGAGACTTTAAATCTATTACTTCCTTCATTTTTATGTTGTTTGTTGATAAAATTTCACAATGTAATGTTCATTTCTTTTAATTCTTCATAATTTCATTGTTAGCCTTTCAAAAAAAAAGTATCTCTTCTCTGATTGCATGCATCTCTTCTTGTAAAGAGGAAAAGATCTTCTGATTGTGTTTATCTCTTACTTTCTTTGCCTAATGATTTAGTTGCCGCTA